ATTCCCTCGCCGGCCCGTGAAAGTCGGCCAGATGCGAGTACGCCTGGACGAGGGCGTCATGTTCCGGCATGCTGGGTGGTGGTGACGCTTCCTCGTTTATATGGATGCGCAGATGCGGGCAGAGTTGGGTTTCAGTACTCGTTGGCAGCGACGAAGAGGCCCCGTCCTGGTCAAATGAAGCCAAAAAAAAAAAAGAAAGAAAGAAAAAGAAAATGGCGGGGCCCGTCAGAGCAGAAATTTGGCTTGCTTCACTCTTGAATTGCTGCAGAACACAGCCATCGACCCTCGTCAAGAAGAGACTGTCCTCCCCTCTACCGGGCCTCCCATGGGAAGGAAAGGTAGGCAGGTAGGTGGGTAGGTCAGGTGAGTGGCAGAGCGAAGCCTCTGGAAGACTGTCAATGTCAGCACCCGAGGAGAATGACAGCGGTGCGCGCATGCCCCCCCTGTGAGCACGCGTCAGGCTGTACCTGCCTGATATGAGGTCGTCGGGAAGGTGTACGTACGTTGCCGCGCCACTGGTCCAAGATCCAAGGTCAAGCGGGCCAGATCCGAGACCAACGGAGAGGGCCGGTGACTAAGCAGCCAGGCGTGCGTGCAGTGGCTTGAATCAGGCGACTGGTACACGACACCATGAATGAGAGCATGTCTTTTCCTGACGAGATCTTGATCTCTTATTATGTAGAGAGACCAATCACCAAGTTGGAGCCACCTTGTTTGTCCGTAGGCCCCAGTTTCCGTATCCGTAAAACCCATGACGCCAAAAACTCAAACCCTCCCAGCCCGTATCAACCAAAAAAAAAAAACGCCTCGATGATCCCCAGTTTCATTGCATCATGGCAATCGCATCCATCCCTCGTAGCACCTCCGACCCCTCACCAGGCCCTGGCCAGAGGGCTGCCAATCTTGGGGGCAAACTGTAAGCTCTTCCTGCGAGCAGCCATCAACCTCCTCACAACATTGTCATCCTTCTCCCTGTCGAGGATGCCGTGGCCCATCTCGCTGTAGGCGTTGGGCTTGGGGGGACACGTCTTCATGCCCATCGGCTCGCTCAGGGGCGAGTCATCCGATGAGCTGAGAGTGGCCGTGGGCGTGCCGGGGGTCAAGTCTGCGGCGTACCTGGCCAGCGCGTCCGGTGCCGGCGTCTGCGGCACGGGCGTCAGAAACGTCTGCCACTCCTGATCGTCGTCCTCAACGAGGTCCGATGGCGAGTGCTCCCAGGCCGTGCTTTCGCGCCTGTTCATGGGCGTGTTGGGTGCCGTCTGGGCGTCGCGGCTGCCCTTGGTCGGGCTGGTGACCATCATGCTCTTGCGGCGACGGGCACCACCGCGGGACGACGACGACGACGACGACGATGTGTCAATGTTGTAGGGAGCCTCGTCGAGCCATTCATTCTCTCGCTCGCAGCTTCACATAGTGTTAGCTTGAATCGGTGGGTCACTGCTATACGGGGGAACAACGTACTCGAGAACCCAGCTGACGCCGACACACTGGACGACGCCTTTAGCTTGGCGGACCTTCTCCAGGGTGCGCTGACCGCCATCCTTGTAGACAACGTGAGTGATGCCAATTTTGGAGCTGTCAGGGCCGGCGCTATCAGGGTTCCAGTCCCAGTTCTTGACACTGCGCGCACCCATCTGCGCGAGGAGCTCGACGAAGATGCCGCTAGCGTCATCGCCCTCACTGGTGTGCACATCCACGAAGACGACGGCTCCGCTGAGAAGTGCGGGGTCAACGTCCCGGCGCGGCGTCCGCGCCGGGGTACCCAGGGTCGACCAGATGTCAGACTTGGTCGGTGTGACAGGAGCAGACTGCAGGGGCTCCTCCTGCTCAACATCGGGTTTCGCCTCCAGAGCGGGCTTGTTGGTTCTTTCATGGAAAGAGTAGGAGATGACGGTCGCGCTCCTTGTCAGGCCCTGCGTGGGCCTGCTGACGGGAAGGCGCGAAATGCTGGCAGCACGCTTCTTCTTGGGGCGCGGCGTCGAGTCGTCAGCCGCCTTCAGCGGCACCTTGGAGACCGTGTGGAACTCGCGGGTGAGGGTGCGGAGCGGCGTCGTCGGAGGGATGGAAAGGCCGTCGTTCATGGCCGGGTCGACAGGCATCTCATTCTCGTCGCCGTACTCCTGACTGGCCTCGGACAGGCTGTCGTCCAGCGCGAGAATGCCCGCCATCTCTTCCACCTGACTAGGCTCCAGCAAAGACATCTCGTCTGCTTCAGCGGCAAGCTGCATGTCTTCTTGAGTGATCATCATGTCGTCAAACTCGGGGTCATCCAGCTCCGCCATGATCTCATCTTCAATGGCAGCCTCAACCTGCTGTTGGAGGTCAAACTCGGCGCGAATGGTCATCTCGTCCTCGAAAAAAGTGCTCTTGGCGGGAGAGTCGTCAATGCGGACAGAAGCCGCGGGAGACTGCGCTAGCTTGTTCGGGCTTTCCACTGTCGCCTTCGGGGCTGACGGCCGCGTCTGCTTCGCGGGACTGGCAGCGGACCAAGCGCTGAGCTGCTGCGCGAGAGGAGTGAAGCCAAGCTTGTTGGAGAACTGGCCCATGCTGCGACGGGACGACAAAGCAGGAGTGGGCGTAGCCGGGACAGCGCGGGTAGGTGAACTCTGTCCCTCACCACTGTGCGCAATCTCGTCGTCCGAGTCTGAGTCCATATCGTCGTAGGGCGTAGTATCTTTCTCCCGAAGGGCAAACACGCCCGTGGGCGGGGCAGGGAGCGTCCACGGGACCCTCAGTGTCGTCAGCAATAGCTGAGACTGGCGGCTCGTTTTCCTGGTTCTCAACCTCGAGTTCCTCGGTCATGATGGAATCTCCATCCTCATCGGTCACTTCGTCTGCGGCGACGTCTTCGTCGGAGTGAGTTCATCGACGATCTGCGAGACGGCCTGAGCGCTGCTGTGGCCTCTGCTTCGCGGACCTCGTCCTCGAGATTTTCATGCAGA